CTCAAACATTTTTATTATCTGAGTTTTGAAGAAAAAAAACCCATTTAATTGCTTTTTAAGCAAAGCTATTACAAAGCTAAAACCAACTTCATATATTTTCCCCTTAATTCTTTGTTGTCAGACATCAACAACCATGCTTTAAACTGTTAGAATTTGAGAAGGCTTATCAACTTTAGCCACCATTTTTTTAAATTCAACAAAAAAGATGGAAATCCTCAATTTCACTATCAAGGAGCGAGCCTATATTCAACCGATCTCCGTAAAAGTTGTTGTTCATCAAACAAGAAGCCAACTCTTTAATTATTATAAAATTATTATCTTTTTTCACTATTTCGGTGCAGTTTTTGACGCTCATTTTAGAAAATATTTAGTTATAGCAAAGAATATTAACTCCTTCAGTTCTTTAAAGTTAAACCCTCCTATTAAAGGCATCAATATTTCAATTTATAGCACTATTTAAAGTTATAATATCCTTGGTTTAACATAACGCTCCCTGGCATTGATTCCTCAGAGGCTTTCTTTAATTTCGGTAAATTCTTTTTTAAAAAGAATAACTTTTTAAAGTGGCTTTTAAAATTAAAAAGTATTTGAAGAGCAAATAAACGTAACACAAATACGCTCAAGTATTTTTAAAAAAGTTTTATAACTAGCAAAATTTGGCTTGATGCTGTTTTTACCTACAAAACACTTTCAGACATGGTCATAATGCCTATACTTTCAATTTGAGTAGCTTTCTAAAAAGTTAACTCATCTCGATAGATAAAATTGACGTCCACGCTAGCCGAAAAGAGAAATAAATAAAATTTCTCACTTTTGATAAACTTTTGTTAGAAAATTGCACAAGTTTTAGAACCATTGACTTAGTGGAAGTTGCAAAACTCACTAGTTACCTCAATCTCTCCTCAACTTTAACAACGTGCAAGCTTAACTCGTTATAAAGCTGAACAAAAATACTTTCGTATAACATCGCAATGATACGTGTACTGAGTTCTACAGAAACTAGGCGAAAAAAAAAATTACTTGGCTTTTTTTTTTTCAGCACTGGCGTTCTACGGCCGGTTTTCTTCAGACCTTAAGCCGCTTAATTTAAATTCCCCTCATCTGTAGGGGTTGGAGCCGCTGCCTACCAGTGTACGCTCTTTAAAGAACCTATAATGACTGGACCGAAAAACTGAAAAAACTCTAAATTCAACGAATTATAATAAGGTTTAACGACTCATCCAAAAACCTTGACAGCGCTGAATTGAGAGTAATTATTCGACTGCAATGTCCTTCTTCATCACCATAAACTTCGTCCCGAATTATAACTTTAACCCCTTAACAACGCCACCAATCGAGAATTCTCAACAGTTAGCATCACCAAACAGAATTTTGTAAACCCAATTGGTAGGCATGTCTCTCATTCTAAAAGAAGATATGATTTATGTATACCAAGTTACGCCATTATTATGGAGCGGATTTAAGCAAGTTCTTATTAACTTAATTTTTAGGCTTATATTTCTATCTCAGTTACTATTTGGCATGTCCCGTCACTCCTTTATAATCATATAATAAGATATTATTGGCAGTTCTTATGAAATCTTGTGCCAAAATCTTAATTTAGAGCCTTTTTAGTGATCCATCTAAGGTTATGCCATCATCTTGCGTTTACTTATTGTTTTCAAAGGAAACATTTCTTTAATATGCTCACTTAAATGACTTGAAGTTTTATCGAATAAAGAATAACACGTTCCGAGTGTCTGCTGGTCTTCAGCTTTATTATATTTAATAGTTTTAAATTCCCTACATTTAAGGAAAAAACACTCCTTTCCTCCTCTTTCCCTTTTCTTAACGTTGGAGTTTAATATACAGAGAGGAGTAAAGAGGAAAGGGAAAGAGAAGAGAAGAGATGGAACAACAATAACACAAGTGTTTTACTAGCTTAAATATATTTTTGTCTTTGCAAAAATTTTATTGTCTCCTACTTTTCACTGCGTGGATTTACTTATTAAACTCTCATAAAACATGTGCTTTTATCACTTGTTTGTCTGTTAGGTATTACGCGTGCTTCATACTACGTGATTATGCGCGTGCCCGTATCACCTGTTTTATTTACGTCTTTACGTCCTACATTTTTTATTACTTCCCTGAAGGTATAAATGCCATTCCTCAACGCAACTCCTCTTTTTCTCTGTCTGGGGCCCGCGCTCCCGCCATTCGGCCTGGTGTAGTGGAAAACCGCTAAAAACCACCACTGAGAGAGGCAGCCTTAGGCACAAGACCCGAAGCCTCCTGGAGACACCGGCCAGCACAACTGCCAGCTAGGCCACCCCGACTATGAGCTCCTCGCCCGGAGGGAGGATTGCTTTACTATTTATTTTGCTACCAAAAAATTTATTTAACTAAAGAGTGGCAAACCCTACCATAACTTGAGGCTAAAAAGCCCCTGTTATCAAATACGAAAATGTGTTGAGCATATATATAATAGCTGTGATTTAATTCATACAAATGCCAGTAATTTAGGTATGGGCATACTATTCCAACGGTACGATGACCGCTTGCACTACATAACATTGTGAGTACTGAATTAAATGTATCTCAAAGAAAATATAGCGTAATGGATAGGGTGGCGTTAGCAGTCTCCTGGTTCACTAAAAGACTATATTCAAAAAACTTATAGTTGAAACAGACCATAAAAGCCTTCTTGGAGTCTTTGATAATGAGTATATGAAGCTGGAACTGCAAGGGAAAAAGGATTAATAGGAGGAAGCATATAATGAACAATATTTATAAAACATTAAAATACATACCTGGTAAGAATAATGTCTTTGAGGATTTGATGTCAAGGTTCCCAGCTGATGATAATTAGTTGTTAAACAAGTAAAGTTTACTTCAACAAATGAAAGGTAAGATTATTTCGATGTTATCAAACAAGAGAGGGGAAAAAAGTTGAAGTACTTGGTCGGTGAACGGCATACTCTCTACCCTAATAGAAAAAAAGTTATTAACAAGTGTGAAGTATGCCAACGTTTTAGTAATAGGAATCTACGTCTTAAAGAGAAACTTAAATATATTGATAAAGCAGAGGAACCTCTGGAGCCTTAGGTTGTTGATGTAATGAAAATGTTAACTCGCATGAAGGTATGGACAGCGTCCTGGTTATTGTGGATAGATATTTAAGGAAGTTTGTATGGACATTTTCCCTTAAAAAGTTACAGCAGAGGAGGCGAAAACTGCCTAAAAGAACTGGAGGGCCCCGCTACCATCATTAAAGAATTGGATAAAACTTTGACTAGACACCGGAACCAGCTAAAAAGACTGCTGTTGGCGGATAAAGTTTTCTAAGGCTTTAGGATGATTAGGGAAGCCTTATGTTTCGGAGTTATTCAATAGTTCCAAGCTTACTTCGGAGACTAGGCACGGTAGAACCTGTTTAGAAAGAGTTGCTGACTTAGTATGCACTTCGATTTTAGGGTATAAATAGCTTCTGCAGAAGACCCTCACAACATTTTTCCGGAAAACTTTCGAGGGGGTTAATTTTACTGTGGTAGTTGATTCAGTGCCTGTTCGCTCGTATATCTGACGAGCAATGCAATTAATCCGTTAATAAAAAATTCTAATTCTTCGTTATCTTTATAGGTGCTCTAGTTAGAACTAGAAGAGTGTGAGTTTTAGAACGTTCCTCACAAAAAGTTAGAAATGATGGAATTTAATCGACTAGATTAACAAATACAATCTCCTAAAAGAATTAAATCAAACTTTTCAAGAATAACAAAGATAACCACAGAAGGTGTTTCCACTCGAGAGTGAACGCCCTCTGGTTTATGTTTAGATTTCTAACTTTTCTAAATTAGCTCTTGATTATTTTATTAAGCTAGGGTAAATTGTGTAAATCCAGGCTTTATAAATTGTTTCGTGTTTTAATTTTTATCTCTTATTAAATAAAAACTATTTAACTAACTAGATGTATTAAAAGTAATTTATAATTTTATAGGTTTATTATATTCAATAATTATCTAATTTTAGTGATAATTAAGAACTCGTTAGCACAAAAACTAAATTATTTAAAACTTTGTCCTATATTATATTATTAGTTTAAAATGTATAGAGCATTAAAAAAGAATTTATATAATGTAATAATAGCTCTCTATTTAAATATGTAAGTTATAAGTACAAGAGCACAGCAGCTTGTTATTTCATACTTATATCTAATAATAAGGATTCGTCTAGTAACTTGTTACAATTGCACTTTCTTATATGACCTAAATGAGCAAATAATAAGAAACTTAGATCAATTTAATTACTTAAATCAGAAAACAAACAAAATTTTTGTTTTAAACACCGAGTACACTGTAATTCAGTATTCTGTATCATTCGGTAAAGTGTGCTGGGTTATACGGTTGGCTCTTAAAAAAAAAACCTTTAAAACTTAGTAGCGTCTCGCAATTTAAATTATATTATTTTATAAAAAATACAGTTTTACGTGAAGGAAGCTTAAGCAAACTTATTAAGGTAGACCTAAGGTTGGCATATAAGAAAATTTGTGTTTTTTTTTTACACTCTAACAAATTCTTTATCTCCCCTTTGAGCCCTACTGATATTTAAAAGTCAGTCACGTTAGTATCTTACTATGGTTCTTTGAACTATGTGATTAACGTGTCTCAAACTCAAATTATTCACAGCTACATTGATAGAAAACACTTACAAACCTGAACAGAAGAAAAGCGTGCAGTGCAAACCCCTTACAACCCGAATTTTTTTTTATAATTACTAATTTCAAATTATTATGAACTTCTTCCCTTCAAGCAGAGAACTAGATTAAAAAGAATTTAAATTGGTAATTTGTTTTTAAAACTACCGCCTTTTAAAATTTTTATTGGTTTACTAAAAGCGTTATCTTACAACGCAACGCTATATAAGAAACTCGCATTTTTTTTTTACTATAAAAATATCATTTCTCCGGCCCTTTCGGTGCGCTTCTATTTCTTTACTGGCGCGTGTGTTTCGCCTCATGCCTAATTCTGTCAGGATAACACTCTCAGTTTTGGTTTTCGTAGGGTATTGTTATAAGGATGCCGTTAAACCTGCAATACAAGGTAAAGAAGAAAATACTTTCATGAAGGCGCCAGGAATTTTAGAGCTTGAAGGTTAAAACAAGAAGTTCTTAAAAACCAGTTCATTTACTAGTTACTATACTTAGAGACAAAGAATGTGCCACCTAAACTTGCGCCAATATTATATATTATATCATTGCTACCGAACTTAGATAATACATTTAATGGAACAATTTCTATTATTGAAGTTAATGTTACTAAAGAATGCAAATATATTGAATTGCACACCTTAAAACTAAATGTAACAAGTTATGTCATTAAAGACAGTCTTAAGGAAATGAGCTGTGACGGACCTCCAAAATACTCAGCAGTATTAAAAAACTGTCTTCTACAAATTTAGTTAATGCAATTTCAATATATTTATAAAAATGAAACAATCACTTTCAACCTTAAGCAAATGCTTAAGCCCGGAATCTACGTAATGTTCTTATCTTACCAAGGTTTTCACTTTTTTGCAAAAATATTATATCACTGCTAATGAAACAAATAATGCGGAATGTGCATAGGTGAGATAAATGAGGTGGTGGGTTTAGCTAAACGAGAGGGAGGGTTTGTAAAATTAGGATACCAACTAAAAGATGAAGAATAGAAGTATTTTTACGGTGAGTTACATTAGTTTCTGAAATTTTTAGTAGTAGATTATAAGAATTTATGATATTATGGCTTTAGGTTCCAGGTTCGAACCAAGATATGCACGCAAAGTTTTTCGCTTGTTTTGATGTGCCATCTCTGAAAGCGCAACTGGTGCAACAGTCCTTATCACTTTTATACTCCATTTTTTTTTCGACTTTTGCGAACGCTTAGCAAATCAAGCACAGACCAAATACACAATTATTTATTCATTTATATAGCATAGACTTGCTACTGGCTTGCTTTCCCAATCAGTCGCTCCATAATCATACCTTTATTAAGTGAGATCGTGGAAGCTACCACCTTTTTTAAAGAGTTACTATACTTTTAACAAGATAGGGGGAGACATTATCATCAATACTTAGCATAAAACAGCAATGGCCCATATTTTATGCCTAGTTGAATTTTAGTGCCATTAAAGATTAATTAAGGGAGAGCTATAGACTTAACCATATTTCCCCTCAGATGGGTCTAAGAAATTCTTAGGTCGTAAGTACTTGTACAAGCCAGAGTTACCAAAAAGTTTAAAGAAATTAGCGTTGATTCTGTAGTTCATGTGCACCAATGCCAATCTTAACGTAAAGCAGAAAGTGCGTAAGCTTTTAAAAAAATATGAATATGTAAACTTTTTGCTTAGAGGACCGTTTAGTTTTATAATGAACCACAAAAGTATTTAAAGAATACGTTACGTTGCATTTTTTTATTAATATCATGCTACTATATATTTTTGGAAATTTAACAGAAGTTACTTTTCCGGATTTGCAATCACCTAAAGGATTTCGCTATGGAATAGTGAGGACGCGTTGGAATGAAACTATCGTTAGCTCTCTTACTGAAGGATGTATTAGTTCTTTGAGGAAATGTGGCGTTCAGGAGTCTGATATTGTAGTGTATTACGTGCCTGGTTCTTTTGAGGTAGCTATTTATTTGGACTATTTATCCTTACAGAAGTTACCTATTATCCTCCTAGCTCCCTCTTGGCGCACAAACTTTAATTAAAAAAAATATTGTGAACGCAGTAATTTGCATAGGAGTTCTAATTAAAGGTGTAGTTATAAAAAAAACTGTTCTTGTTTATAGCCTTAATTATTTAGGTGAAACCCATCATTACGAGTATATATCTGAAGCGGTTTCTTGCGGCATCATGCGCGTTGGAATAAAAACTGTAGAACAATAGAATAATAGAAATAAAATTTTTCTTATTTGAATTGCTTTACTAAGGGAATTCCCGTGATATTTGGTGTACTTACGTGTATTACTAGTGAGCAAGCTGAGACTAGAGCAGGTAAGAAATGAACATTTATTATGTTTACGTAGTATCAAATATTTTGGAAACCATTTTCATTTTAGTTTTACTTTTTGGTTTTTTTTTTTAGCTTTTTTGTCTATATTATTATGTTTAACTTATTACCTATTCTTGTGTTTTTTATTATTTTGTTAATTTATCAGTTTTTATAATTTATTAATTTCTCTTTTTCTATCTTTCTTTTTGTTATTTCTTTTTTTATAAAAAATTGTTGATATTACTTAAGTTAATCATGCTTATGATACTCATTTTTCCTATTTATTTAAGTTATTATCGTTTCATATGTCTCTAATTAAGGCTTGCGCGAGAATTGTGGCGTCAACCACGGGATCGACTGGGGAATTTCGGCTGTTGAGATGGCTATACTCTGCAATCCGCAAAGATTATAGAACATATTAGACTAACAGTTGACGTTAATATTTTATTGTTTACAATTAAAAATTATTTATGATTTTGTAAACCTTTTTTATAAATATATTGTTACTTATCAATTCATTTTTATTTCGTATATGTAAGAAAATTAAAGGTTTTTTGACTCTTGCACTATCATTGTAGCTTAATATTAGTAAAAAAAACAGGCAGACTTGCAACGTTATTCAGGATTGACCGCCTTCGCTAAGTTCACTTATAATCATAATGGCTGATAGTTTTATTGAAACTTTTTATACAGTCGTTGTTACGTCTTATTTTATTTATAGTTTAAAAAAAATCGCTTTAAGGATTACCCGATCCTATACAGCTCTTTTTTAATAAACAGTGTTAGAAATGTTTTTCGTATAAAAACTGCTTCAACAAACTGTCCGTCAGCCATTTGCTTACCTTGAAGGATGTATGGACTTTTCCATCGCTACTAAATCTACAATTCAAGTGTTTATAGTAAATAAAATTCACAACTATAAAAATTGGGATACAAGCTAACGCCATTATTATTGAATTGCACTGCTGAAAAGTATGGCCCTAGCTTATAAGGATCAAGTAACTTAGCTTTATCTCTTAGTAGACCTTAGCAAAGTAGCCTCCTTATACTAAGTTATTATTAGAGACGGTATAAGGAGTTTGTTCTGCCTTACAAGTATGTTATTCCATTGTATTGGGTATCAACTCTGCCGAACCTATAACAGTACTTTAGTAATTACTACTGAGTACCGATCGCTATTTAATTGCAAAGTTTTTCAAAGCTGTATTCGATGTTTTAACAATTTTGTTTAGAAATCTGTGCATAATTTCTAACTGAATAAGGGAAATTGCAAGCCTTACACCGCGCATTGTTTTTAAACGATTGTTGATTTTTTTACAACCTTGAATTTGAGAACTATATACGGAAAGTATATAGGTTTACAGGAAATGCCTGAAAGCTTTTTCTTTATAAATTCGAAGCTGCTTGATGAGTACAACGCGCAAATATCAAACAACAAACAGGTATATAAAATAAAAGTAGGTGATATGTCATTCAATTAAAATTTCTATAACCAACACCTTTAGCACATTTATAAAATTACTAAATATCTTATTAAATAACTGAGGTATTTTTGGATTTCAACGAAGTTTGTAAAAAAAAAGTGAAGTGCAGTTACTACAGACATTAATTATTTTTCGGTGCTAACGGCGGCCCACATAAGGAAGTGGAACAACTTTAAAAGATCTGTTTAAGTGAAGTATTTTCCTGTAGGTGGTTGTTCTTTAGCAAGAAACTGCGTTAAGAAGCCTACACCATATTTAGACTCGTAATAAAGCACTGTTTTGTTAATATTATTTTATTTATAGCCAGATGTTTACGAAAATTAGTTTTTTATGCAGGAAAAGAAGAAATCAAGGAAATTATAAACTTCTCTGTAACAACCTAGATTGTAAGAGGAAATCTTCTTGAAAAAATTATTTAGAACTTTTAACTACAACTCTAAAGGGAAGAATAGAGAAATCAAAGGAACCAAGATCAATAGGAGTTAATATACATTAAAAAAAAAGTAGTATTTTAGAAAGTGCTAGCAACCAATTAGAAAAGCCAAAAGGGGTAAGCGATCACGCTAAGTTGGAAAGTCAACCTGTTAGCATACTAATAAACACCTTGATTAACATTTTAAAACGTAAATCCGTGGTTATATACGAGAAGTAAAGAGAAAAGTGCATAAGAAACTTCTATTAAGATGACTCCGACAATAAATAGTGCAAAAATGATCAATAGTATAAAGTTAGAATCTTTAAGACTACGAACTAAATTTATCAATTTAATTTTGTTAAAAGTTGAAGAGAAACATCTAGATATAGTGGAATAGGTCTCCAGGTACAAACGTCTACAAGGGCTGTCTTGCTGGAAATAAGCTTAGGGTGGTAACACTGATATTTAAAAACTATTACATTAAAAAAATTTTTTTTTAATATAATTTTCGTCTATTTTAATACACCTTTCGCACCCACCGTGCAATTGTATTATCCCGCGAAAAAAATATGTCGAAACTTTGTAAAATCCTCATCTACGACGGACCTCATTTCGTTTTCATCGGTTATCTATTCCCATGTAACGCCTCTTAAATCTTTTAAAAAGTAATAATCGCTGAAAGCCAAATTTGGATTGTAGGGTGGATGGACTAATTTCCTCTAAGCCCATGTCTCATATAGCGCGCTTTGCAACTTTAGCTGGGTGAACTAGCGTGTTCTCTTAAAAATGGGAGAATTTCTCCGCTAGGTTTATTAATAACGTGTACAATTGGATAATTAAGTCAGCATTCATTGTTCTTCCACTTGGAAGGTATCCCTCCAAAGGTATTCTTGCGTTATTCCAAAATATCGTTGCCGTAAATTTGGTAGCCACTTTTTGGACCTTGAACTTGTGCATTGGCCTTTCTCCCTTATTTATACATTGCATGGGCCCTTCTTTGGATTCATCGAACTGATAAATTTGTTTAAGCACAGGTTACAATGGGTTGACAAATCGAATCCATATCGTTCTCACACAACGAAGTATATTACGCGCATTTTCCCCTCTTAATTCCCGGTCTAGTGGAATTAACCTTTGGTACCCAACATGCGCTCACCTTACTCATTAGTAAGTGACTATAAAGGATTTGTCCAGCACTATCCTTGCTTATCTTTAGCCCCTCTGCTACCAGACGAACTCGAATTCCACATTCTTCAAGGACTAATTTTTCTCTTAAAAATTTTTTTTCCTGTAATGACCGCGCAAGTTGGTCCTGGGTATTTATTGTCTTTTAATAACCCCGTCCTTTTCTAAACAACCGAGTTCATCTTTTGACCGTTTCATATGATGGTGCACTTAGTGGATGACTGGTCAATTTTTCCTCGTTGATTTTATTGGCACGTTTACCTTATCTTACAAGATACTTTATCGCGACACTATATTTAAAATATCCAAATCGACAAGATATGCTGTTCGGTTGACGTTTACTCAATAAGTCTTAAATCTATCATAATCAAATTTGATACACCAGCTATTTACAGTACATGGGTACAAATTGAGTTTAAATATTTTTACATCGTCCACTTCTAGACGAGCCTCCCTTTCCGGCGAACACCTTTAGTACATAAACAACCTATGTTTTAGTCTTAAGAATGCCTATGTTTGTACATTAAAATTAACGCTGTTAAATATCACAGATACTACCACATTATGAAAGGGACAAAAAAACCACTTAAACTCTTTTGAAAATCAATACTGTAAGTTGGCAGTAGTACTAGCAGCTAACTAAATTTTCCCTTCTGGTTGTTTCTTGAGTTTTCTCGCTGTTCTTGAATTAGGTGCGCGTGAAAAGTCAACTGTAGCACGTGAAAGCAAGAAAGAAGCAAAAACAGTTTTTTTCCTTACACCTGATCCTTAGTAGACCCTTCGTGTGTATGCACTTTAGACTAATAGCTTTTAAAAAAGGTGTAATGTAATAATTATTTTGTTAGTCGTTATTGGCAACAATTATTAAGAGCATATCCCCTGACCCCTAAGATTAGCAGGCATTATTAAAAGTATGCTTTTTCAGAAAGACCCACGCTAAAACAAAATAATTGGCGAGGCGGTATACGTTTCCCATCCGGCTGACAGCGTAAATATAAACTATAGGTATCAACCAAAAAAAAACTACTTTTTAGGGAAAATATAGTACAATGATTATTGGGCAATTAAGCCTCTATTTCTACATGCGCCTCTTAAAATCTATTAACAAATGAAGAACACGTAAGCAATAGGGAGAAAAAAACGAAAGACAACAATCTAGTTTTATTGAACTTTAAGAGAATATATATCAGTGTTGCATCCGACTTGGGACAGAAGGGATTACTAACAACAAATTGCCTTGTAATAGCTATAAGAAAGTAACAACCATAATTGCAGCTCACTTACGTGATGCCAAATAGTGCTATCTACAACTATGGTACTAAATTGTAATCCCTAGCATATAGTTTATATCTACGTAGTTGAGGCTACATGTATTTTCTAAAAATTAGTTCCATTTCATGGAGATGGTGAACTTTATATTGGACTTTAAAAGCTCGTTTACAACTAGGACCAAGTTAACGATAAGTGAATTCATTTAACTGCGTTTGTACCTGTCATTTAGCCTTTTGACTGAGTGAACTCTTATCTACTTAATCTCTATTTATATATTTTTTTACTATTTAACACTAATAAATATTTATCTATTTATATATTTAAACACTTTTTACCTATTAATTATAATTAAGTTTCATTACTGATAAGTTTCCCTAAGTATTAACACAAGTAAACTTTAAAAAGGATTATCGTATAACGCTGAAAGAAGCTTTGTCTTCTATTTTCTCATATAAAAAAACAAAGCAGTTTATTTAGAAACACCTTTAATAAAATATTATAGTAGCGTAATAATGATATACCAAATATATTATCTATGACAAACTATGAAAAATTAGAATCTTAAAGCTTTTGATCAAATTAATTTTTAAACAAATAAAATTTTTCTGTTAAATTAAAATCAATCTATTTAAAATAATTTCTGTTAACTAATGATTTCTAACATTCATTTCCATAAAATAATTAGTGTTTTAATTACCCCTATAGGTGATTAATGTCTTTTTACGTTCCAGCCTTGTAGACTAGAATTTATAACAATAGCTATCAGTTACGATACGGACAATCCCAGATCTATAGATTGGGGTCCATAGCTAACTCGTAGCCACAAACGAACGAATCCAGTACAGAAAACGAGAAAAAATTTTTTCTTTTTTTTTTAGTTAAAAAATGACTATGTTTATTTTGATTTAAAAATGTTACAATTTAGACTATTTGTACTCATTTAGTGAATTATTTATACAAATTAACTGCCTTTAATTCTTACATGCCAAAAATCTCTACAGGCATAGCATTTCTATTTAAGGGCTTGTTTACTGAAGACAGCGTCCTTTCTTTGAACCAGTGCATTAAGTTGATCACTTTTTCGATATATGAGCAGTGTAGGCTTACCAGCGTCATACTCTTCTACGGCGCTTGAGCAGGTTTCTGAGCTTTTTCATCTTTTGCAGTTATGCTGTTATAGCGCGTCAGCTTAAGTGAATTTTTTGAAACTAGGTCTGCCGGTTGTGGCGAGGTGTAATAGGGAATAAACCGTTACATGAACTTCCATGGCAGATGTGGCGTTTAAGATTTCGGTGTATTATCTGAGGTTGCTTTAAAATCGGGCTTTGGCAATCTAGAACTTTTTCTGGTAAACCCAAACTAAGGGCTACTTAATCTATTAGGTATATGCACTTCTCTATCATTATAATTAAGTAAACCAACTCCATTTCTCAATACTTTGCATGAAGGTATAATATAATCTGAAAAGAGCACTTTAGTCAATATCCTTATTTTAGCTGGCATGAAACCGTTTTTTTATATATGTATAGATACTATAACCCCTAGGATGATTGCCGAAAGGCCTTAACTACCATAAAGCTTTTACCAATTATAGGTGCCGTTCTTGCAAAAGTGGCATCCACCACCTGTATAATATCCTCGAAATTCTGGAAGGGCCTATACTTTATACTTAACACGGCTAAGATGTGAGAGATTTAAAGACCCCCATACAACATTTTATCCGCAGATTATTATGAACTGCATCACCTTTGACCTCGCCCTCTTCAAGAACCTTTCATTATGCCATGTGCATGTCTAATTCGTATGTTAGCTTAAATTCGTTTTTGATTATTTTAACCCTATTACACATTGTAATTATAATTTCTCTGAGAAAATCTAGTGATCATATTTTGTTAATAGCTATCAAGTGAGTATCTTACTAATGATGAACAACTTCCAGCATGTTGAAGTCGTTTTCCATATTGTGTATATACACCAAACAAGCTTTAGAAATACGACCTCTTAATGATCGCATTAGGGTATGCCAGAACATATTAAGTTATAAATATATAATTTTACATTGGGAAAAACATTTGGGTCGTCGATAGACTAGTTGCCCTTGTAAGTGGTACCAATTGGAATTTGAGTTGGAATTATCTGTCAACATAACATTAACGATACAATAAAAAGACGAATTATTTTATGAAAAGCTTGTTATAAGGCTAGTTCAACAACATTTATCGTTATGTAAGGTTGCTATTAGACCTTTTGAGAAACATTAAAAAATTAATAATTATGACTCTTCGAATAAAGTTTTCTTAATCTGTTTAAAATATCTAGTAAAACTAGTTAACTAAATTATAACATAATTGCCCTCTAGGCTACTAAACTATTTATTAACTTCGACTAAAACACCCTCTAGAGTAAAACTATTAATTAATATCTCCTACCCTCTAGATCAAGGTAAAACTACAACAATAAAGATGCAAAAAAGAAATAAAGAGCGAAGAAAAAATATGGACGAACCACACATGTTTTATTTAAAAGTATATATGTGCATTTTATACAGTTTAATGTAATTAACTAAAAATTTACTTAATAAAAAATTATAGGTACCCTATTAAAATTTCGAACCGTACGGTAAGGTGATTAAACTATAGACAAGGATAGGTGAAGATTAAAAAACCTAAGAAGCAAGAGAGGGTCAATAGATGTGGTTTACGTCAAAAGATATGTGCGAACAAATGTATAATTTTTTGTATCTACAGTATGCAATAAATGTAAGAAAAAGGCTTAGTTTAGACTAGTTTTATTAATTTAGTTAATATTTTTTCTGTAAAATTATATTTTATTTTATTTTTAAGAAATTATTATTCTTTTATTTTTAATTTGTACCTTTCTATAGTTAATTTAGATGAGCTAATGGGTATTTTTATATATATTTACTTACTGAACTTAAACTAATTATAGAAGAAAAATATTACTTGTATATAATGAATCCGTTTGAATCAGTTATTATTTATATAATTTTACGACACACTTAATATTTCTTAGTCACTGGGTTAATTTGGCAGGCAAACCTTCGTCGCCAAATCGGATTCTTATCAAGGGGTGCTTAGGTTATGTTCCTTACAATAAGGAACTATCGCCCCTGTTTGTTCCGTTTTAATTCTCAGTCGTTCTTTAAATGTTATTATAATTTAATTTTACTTCTAACTATTTTATTTATATTATCTTTTTATCCAGTATTTTTCTTATTTAGGTTTTGTATTTTTAGTATATACGTTATTACTTAGCTTTAATCTCAACTGGTTTGGCGGTTTTTGTGTTTATAATGTTATAACACAATGACTCTCCGTTATTTTCAGATGACCCTTAGTTGTACTCGACAGAGCACAGCAACCATAACATAGTTCTTATTCATTTAAGTTAAAAACCGTTTCAGGTTTTAAACGAGTTTAACTGAGTAAATCATAGAGGGTAATTATAAAGCGTTATGCAAGTATTTATTTCTTGATCTTTCCCCTCCCAATACAACTAATTTTTTTACAGAGGCCCTCTGTAAATTAAGAATGACTAACATTGCTGATGACGCGTATTTCGTATAGGGCTGCCTCTTACATGCACTTGTACAATTTACCAGTTATGGAAAGCAGGCACCCAGACTATATTAGAAAGCTTTAATCCCAACAAAATATGCCTCTTTAGATAAATAGCTTTCTACTAAACCCATACCTATGCAAGAATTTTATATAATGACCTTTTATTTTTTAAATATATATAACTGACTTACTTTTATCATGACTTCGCTAGGAAAAAACAAATAGTTCTGACCAACATTTGACGTAAACGTTCCGTTAATTATAAAAAACTTTTTAATTGCTTCTGATTTGTCAAATTTATTACTTTTTTTATATAATAAAGAGAAATTTCAATGCGTGCGCTTCTAAAATTGGTTGAAACAATTTAAAAATGAAAGAAAATAGAAATAAATTAAGAAAATCATGTGTAAGTACTAAAAAAATTAAAAAAATTTTTATCCCTTAATAATGAAACTATTGAATTTTTTTTATCGTTTAGAATAGAGGTCTGTTTTTTTTTAAAACGCCACCTTTTTGGAATGCCTAGAAAGAAACCGTATAGTGGGAAGGCTAAAAAATTGCAGCTACGAGGGAAAAAAGAAGAAAAAAGGCGACAGACCGGTTTTTTACCTTGATAACAAAATTTATTTAATATTGTTATCTGTAAGCTTCTAAGAATTGCATATTTATTTTGTAGTTTCAAAACCTTAAAAGTTTTAAAGGTAATAGAAATCTTAATAAAGCAGAGATAAGAAACAAAAGCGGCTTACATTCAGATAACTTACACCAAGGCGTAAGCAAAAACGGGCCTAATTCAAGGTTCTTTAAAATTTTATATAACAAATTGTATTTGTATCGAAAGCACAACACCGGTTATTTGGAATTGTAGATTCTCTTTGCATTTTATTGAAGAACTTTTAGAAACTATTGAAGAAAATAAAATTAAAAGCAGACTTCCTTATAGTCCCGTAGCAGAGGCCCGTTCTTATACATCAAATGTTATTATAGTTGATAGTCATTTTTTTGTAGGAAGAATTAGAATTTGGTTTTGAAGATGTTCACGGAGAAGGAACTATGAGCATCCCGTTACGCCCTCGTTGGAATTATGATATGACCAAAGAAGAACTTGAAAAAAAAGAACAAGCGATTTTTAAAATTTGGATGGAAGGTGTTTCTCTTGTTATTATTTCCTATTTTAAAAAACTTAATACCATTTCTTTAATTTAATTTAATTAATTAAAAGATTTAACTAGTACTTATAAGAATTTAAGTTACTTTGAATTAAATTTGGAGGTTAGTATAATTGATTTATGATACTGTTCTATACTTAACGTTTTCAACAGAATTGGAGACAGCTATGGAGAGTTTTGGAGATTTCCAACGTGTTATAAAATCTATCAATTGCTTTATAATTATTTAACTTTATTTTTGAATGCTATTATATTTATAATTTCCGGTGCAGTATACTTCTTATAACGGATGTTCGCCATCCCATTTTCCATTTTTCTCCGGCGCTATTCAACTATATAGTAGATACTTTACAGAAGCCTGTAATTCTCGTGTTAAATAAAGTATTATATTATTATTATTACAAATAAAATTTATCAAAATTATTTTTATTATAATATAATTTAATTTAACTTAAAATTATTTTTATTAGATTATTAATTTAATTAATTTTAAATTTTTTAAGCTAAATTATATAAATGATATAAAATTATTTTTATTATAAAATATTATAATATTTAAATTTAGATAGATCTTGTTTCTGAAGTTACTTGTCGGGCTTGGAAAGAATACTTTCAATTAAATTTTCCAAAGTTACACGTGGTTATGTTTGCTTCATTTCCACGTGAACAGCGCAACATTTCTTTACAAAGTATTCTTTTTTTAATCTTTATAAAATATTTATTTTCTTTTTTTAATTATAATAATAAATATTATATAAACATTTTATTTAATTTTTTTTATTATATAACTTTACCCTTTTTGATAATTTTTAAATCGTTTTATAGTAACAATAATAAGTATTATAAAAATTTCTTTTTTATTTTTTTAATTAATATTTTTCTCTTTTTAAATTAATTTTAATTTATTGTAAAAATAACAATAATAAAGATCAGTCACTCGGCAAAGCGTGGGGCGTCGAGCAGCTTCTACAGGCTTGTTGTGATTGTTGTTGCAGCTGTGAAAGTTTTGATATTGAGTTTTTATTATTACTATTATTGTTATTACTATTACTATTATTGTTACTTCTAGTAAAAAATCGCTTATTATCCGCGCCGTTAAGGATTGGAATTTCAAAGTCAAGCTCGCTCAGTCCGTGCAGGAACAAAAGTTTTTTATATTGTGAATAAACATTCCTAAGAAAAGAGAGCTTTCCTCTTTCACAGTGAAAACATGAACCAATCCGGAAACGACAAAGACGGTCATTCGGCCAATGAAAACACTGAGATGACAATCCAGCATGATCCTTTTTTTATTACTATTGGCCTTGTAGGTACCTCCGAAACTACATATTGGGCTCTTTTATACTATTTATGTGCTTTCAAAAAAAAGGATCGCCAAACGTTGGGAAGAGTTCTATTATAAACGCGCTTGTAAATAAAAAGGTTGTTAGCTGTTCCCGTACTCCTGGCCATACCAAGCACTTTCAAACTATTTACGTGACTCCTTTAATTAGGTCTTATAGAATAATAATAATAATAATAGTAATATTAATTTAAACATTTTAAAATAAATATTTATAACTTCACTGCAGAGTATGCGACTCTCCCGGGATCGTGTTTCCTACACTCCTGCCGCGTTGCTTGCAGGTGACTGTTTCCTTTTACTTTATTACTTTAGTTTGATTTTTGACGGGGAACACGCAAAGATTCTCTCTGGCGTCTATCCCGTCTCTCAAGTCCGTGAGCCTTACTCCTCCGTGCAATTTTTAGCTGAAAGAGTCCCACTCGTCCGGCTTCTCGGACTGACTTGGCCGTATGAACCCGGTTCAGTCTCGGATGCCCCAACAAAACCGCAGTGGTCCGCGTGGGCTGTTTGCGATGGTTTTTAATAAATTATTGCCCTCTACCTGTGCTAATCGGTGATCGGCCAAGCATGGGCTAAGAAGCGAGGGTTCCACACGGCAAAGGCAGGGCGCCTTGACACCTACAGAGCCGGTATGTCACTATTGCCGAGTTCATCCAATCATAAACTATTATTTTTGCAATTAGCCAATAATATTTTGCGGTTGGCTGTCGAGGGCCACATAGTTTTGTCCGTCAAGCCACTTGGGTTTTACCAGCAATACTCCACGTGCTCAACGGTGGAATAAATTTGGCTCTAGCGACGATGTTAACGGTGACGGCAATATGCTGAACGACACCGGAAAATAATCGTCCTTCAACTTCATTGACGGATTTAATTTTTTATTTTAAGTCTGAAATTTTTATTTGATCAAAATTCTTTACAGATTAGTATATCTGCTTCGCTTATTAATAAAAGTTGTATTTTTTTCTTCACGTTTTTTGCGTTTTTACCGCCCGTACTTAAAATTTTTTTTGACGGGATTAGAAGTTCTTAAATTTTGCACAGCACATTACAGGCTTTGAGTGTTTATTTACTAAAAGAAGAGTCTCACTGTCACTTTTAAAAGGAGTATTAATAGTAAAATCTATTATATAAGGAGCGAGAACTGGGCATTGAATTTCTTTTTTTTATATTTGATAAACAAATGCTGTAAGTAGCCCTACTTCCTATATTTTTTTTAAAGGAAGATCAAAATTAGATATATTGCTTCTAGTTTTTATAAGATCATTGATTTGTAGGTTACTCTCTTTCTCCTTAACCAATGCAAGCGCTAAAGCGGACAAAAAACAGTGTTGAAGATGGTGCCTTCAAAAATTACTTAGACTAGTTTTAAGATCATTTTTTAAAAAGTCAACTTTTAGAGAAACACTGCTAATTAAGACATTCTAGTCAAAGATGAATTTACTTTGTCTACAAAGTAAAGAAGACCCTTCTGGGGGAATGCAAATGGGTATGATTTATTTCAATTAGATCCCGTTTATCGCTGAAGATTTAAAAAAATTTCATAAATCAATTTTCATAGAACAAAAAAAAACTACTTTTATATATATTTGACTTTGGCGCAAGCTATTAAGTAAACAACAATACCTCTCGCCTACAAGATTTAAAAATATTAAAATTAAATGTACGTGGAACTTCGTAAACGACATCAAACTGGGCGGGCGATGAACATATCCAGAACCGAAAGCAATTAAAAAAAATTTGAGACAGAAAAAAAGGTTTCGGTGACGAAGAAAAGGCTATTTTTATAAAAACCATCTTTTGCTTTAAGATGAGCTGTTAAGTTTCTACATAAAAAGAAGCCATGAATATACTCCTAGTAACTAAAAAAAGTTATTTAGTTTTTTTCATGAAAGGAAAGAACATACAATAAAATTTATGTAAGGTACCTGTAATGATCAAAGTTGGGTTGGCGGCAAATTTAGATATAGAGCTAACGTGCGTTACATAGAGCTTTTGTGTAAAAAGGGATGTTAAAAATTATTGATATTAATATGACTATGAAAAGACAAAGAGCTTATATAATGTGCAAAAAGATTAAAATAAAACTGAATGCCTGCACAACAAACTTAAGAAGTCTTTTTAACACTCATCAATTGGAATCCGAGTTGTCTAGTCTTTTAATTTATAAAATTGAACGGCTAAGAAGTAAGTACTGAGACATTAATGGGAGCAAAAACCTATAAAAACTTAAAATGAAAAACAAGCTGACTTAAAAATAAATGTTGACAGAGTACAGTTTTGCTTTAGGGTATAATATGATAAACAGAACAGGCGAGGGAATCCAAATCGCACTCGATAGTCTTTTAATAATAACTTGAGCTTCCCAGACAAATATCTACTCATAAATATTAAATATAGGTATTAAAAGATAAATTTTGCGATAATACTGATAATAGTAGTAAACAAAATAGAACAGTACTAATAAGTAATTTTATATACAACAATACAATATTAATACAGTATATAATAGCTGATATCAATTGTTATAACAGGAGTGGTGACGTAGTTATTTAATAATCCTATTAATTGCATCTAAGTTATTGAAATTTTTTAAGCAATTTGACTTCTATTTAAGAAAAGTGTCCTAATAGAGGCTATTATAACAATATTACTCTCTCTTTAAACATGGCCTTTAAAGACATTTCTTTTGCGAGGAGACGATCTTTTTGAACCTTTCACTTGGATGTAGATTTAAGCCATTTAATTTTTGTTATTTATAACGACTATGGCATACCAATGTAATAAATAAAATATTATAAGAATTTAGCAGACATCAAAATTAGATGTACTGGTGGGAAGCCCCCCAGGTATCAATGTCCTAATTTTTAAAAGTTTATTAGAGTTTTCACCTAAAATATGACTGCAGCAATTATACGCAGTCTGATCTGGAAGTAATTTTTTCTTCTCTAGTTATTCACAACCTCTAACTTTTACTAATGTTGCCGAAGAGAGCTAATAAGCAAGTGATTTTGTTTTTTTATTGAAGATGTACGATAAGAGCCTTTTTTATTAAGTAACTTTTTTTAGTCTCCCTTTTCAAATTAACTGTTAAAACTTTAAAAAATCAAAAGTGCAACATTTATAACCTATTAAAAATATCTTCCTACTCTGCTAAAAAATATACTCAACCTTTTCTATTTAACCTAAAAGGTGTAATTACGTACAGGTCTACGCTATTCTTCTTTATTATTTGGTAAAGTTAAAATTTTGGCCTACTACAAGGAGGTCTGAAAATAATTGCGAACGAATTAAGCAACTACTACCTAAAGTAAACAATCAACAATTCTAAAGCTTTTTAAAAAATGTAGGTTAATGTTACGCAAACTTATACGTACAGTTATAAACTCCTATAAATTACATATGCTGCTCTAAATTATAAATAAGTCAGCTTTTATAATACAAATAAACCTGAAGCTCTACGCGTTTATACTGTAAGGTGTAATTAATAACATTTATTGTACTCATAAACTCAGTTAATTAAAAGTAAATTGAATACAACTGCAGAGAATTTTAAGCAGCGGACGGGGGACCACGTGCTCACCATTTTCAAGGCTGGTGCAAAACCAGTACTATATACACGTAAGGAAGTAGCGCTTTCATATAGCAATAAACACCTGAACATGCGCATGCACACGTACTATAGCGATTATTAACTATCAAATGGAGGCGAGTCGACAAGGATCCTCTACGACGCTGTCCGAAATTAAAGGGATTGTGGTCTGAAGTTGATTGCAAGAAAACGTTAATTCTCTTTTAGAGGCTTCTGATTCAGCGCCATGTAACTTTTTAATCCTAAATAAAAAAAAGAAATAAAAAATGTTAAACCGGATAGACATAAAGTAAACCTATTAGTATAATCCTTCAAAGAAATAACTCGCCGTTTACCATTTTTCTTTTCTAAGCTACCGTCACCGACGGATGTATTTACTTGTGTATCAGTTCCTCTCTCATTACACCTACCCTCCTGCAAAGTGTCGGTAATAGGCGGATGTAAGGAATGGTTCAACGTCACGTGGGGGGTGACGGTGGTGGTATCAGGTACGAGTTTCCTTAAACACTCATCGCCACCATCTTTTTCTTTTACGAGTGGAATGTTGGTCTTATCGCTAACAGGAGCAGATTGTGGGGGTACTGCATGCGTTTTCCCAAGGAAAGCTGGAGCGTCGAGTTTGTCGTTATATGTATTATTATAACTATTATTATTGGAATTATTATCAATATCATTATTACTGGAATTATTATTAATCTTATCTTCGTCATTATTAACAAGACCAACAGTTGTAATAGAAGCCATGTTTGTGCATCCCTTAGTGATACCTAAGTAACTATTTTTGTTAATCCCAGAGACCGCAGCATCAAAACTTCCCAGTACAAACTGCCGGCTGGCGCAGTTCTCCTGCAATTCTTTGAGATATTCGTATATCCAAAGCTTCTTTCCATAACGAATGAGTTGCTTTTCCTGCGAGAGTACTGCGACAGTCGACTGTGAAGAAAGCTCGCAAGAGGCCGCAAAACGCGTTTCTTTCAATAACTCTGGACTAACAAAGTCCTAAAAAATACATGACAAAAAAAAATTATTCGCACAAAACAAAAAGGCACCTTTTGTAGAATCTTCTGATCATCGCCTAAATTTAATAAAGCAGAATTTGAGACTGCAGAAAGTGAAGCCTTCCGTGGGGCTGTAAACGGGATTATGCAGGTGTCAAAATCGCATGAGCAATAAACGCTGTAAGCCGTATCGTAATAGTCATAGTCAAAATCTATCGTAATCTCCTCGCCTTTAGCAATAGGCTTTAAAGAAAATAAACCCACACACACCTCCCCTCTATCGCCATTCATTTCTTCATTCAAACATATAAAGTAAGAAATTTAAAATAAAAACCTATTAGAATTCTGCCTTAAAAAAAGCTACCTTTTTTATAAAACTCGCGGACCTCAGCATTGGGACGGCAACTCCGCCGAACGTACCTGGCCACGGACCCATACCTACTGGCATCTATGCAAAGACCTAGCATGGGCCTGTATCTATAGGGAAAAAAAACTTTTAAAGGCCAGTAACCTTAAAAAAAAATAATTCCCACAAAACAAAGGGACATCGGAATCTGCTGCGTTGGTACAAGGAAGAATCTTTTTTCCACTCAGCATCAAAATCAGTTATGAATCGCCATTCACCTGATGATTTTTTAATATTCAGTTGTCTGAAAAAAGTTAATATTTTGTTCATAACCAATAAATTCCGTAAGAAACTGATTTTTATCGACACTTTCAGCCTCCAAAACTAAAACTTTTTTAAAATTGTTCAACTGAGGCAAAGCACCTTTGACAACCGGTTCAAAAGGAGCGGCAGCTGCCAGGGATTTGTATAGTAAGGAGGTCCCGGCATACTTATAACCAACGTCTATAGGGGAATACTCAAGCCGACTGGAATGGTCCAAAAAGAAATCACTTTCGTCTGCAGCTTTTAAGTGAGCTCTAATAGCTTCACTTGTAAGACATACAGAAAGGGGAGTATAAAAACGGTTATAATAAGCGGATTCCGCAAACATAGCAGAGTAGATTTCTCGATAACTCTCGTTTAAAAACAATGAACTTTTCGGACTTAAGTACAAACAGGAGTCGAGAGAGGCATCAAGATTATGAGATTTTTTTAATCGTTCACGCCTTTTATGCTCTATGCTTTTATTCCTAACGGATGAGCTAAACTCTTTATGCTTTTTTTTACTTTGCAAGGGACACTCATCATCTAAAAGAATTTCTTTATCCTTATTAAAAGTTGTAAGCCGCTTTTTATATCTACTAAAGTTAGAAGGATAATGACTACTATCAAGCCTTAATAATTTTTTTTCTTGCAGTTCAGAAGAATGCAACTCTTTTACTTTTAAACTTTGGATTCTTTTAGCCCTTTCCACATCGAGAGTTCGATTGCTGCATTTATCGCAATAATAAAACTAATAATATAATAAATAACTTAAGCCGAAAAATAAATTTCTGCAAAGTTAAGTGGCACCTTCGGGGTATTGAGGGGATCAATGCCGACGCAGACAAGATGTTGCCAAACATTACAACTATCACAACAAATCATGTGACCGTCATCGTGATCATAACCGCAAATGCAACGGGTTATGCCCGCATCCTCCTCAGAACCTTGCACTGTTTTCGGCTGTTTATTAAAAATGAATCAAATTTAAAAAGTAATTTCCAAATCTTCTAAAAATATGCAAAGTTGGCAACAACCTTCTTTTTGAATTTTGATCTAGAGCTCAAGCGACGAGAACTAGCTTTTTTACGTACACCTATTGTGCCAGAAAGAGATATTATTGTTTGACAAATGTTCAAAAGTAAACCCGACATCATTAAAGTTGGCAAAAAAAAAAAGGGTTTACACTTTTAAACTAAAAGTAATTTTAGTTTCAAATAAATTACCATTCATTCCTGAAGTGTATGAGGATAAAAACTTGGATGTTGGAAAAGATACTATGCTAGAAAAATAATCCATAATTCAAGTATCGTAAATCGTATTCGTACAAGCTTTCAAATAATTAAGGCCAAATTGTCATTGTACGCTATAAAAAACCGATTGAAGAACACTTGAAAAACAAGTAAAAATCACTTTTTAAAAAATAATTGAAACCCCGACGGGCGTAACCAAGCAGTAAAAAAGGAAAAAAGCCTCCAGCTTAAGGATGGAGGGCGGTGAATAAATAAGAAGGGGCCGAGCCGTGTACAAACATCCTAAAAAGGATGTTTGAGACTCGATTCGATATAAGGGAAAAGTATAACCAATTAAAGGTCACAACACTACTTTGTAAGGCTGAATTAGAAAAAATAATCCAATAATTACTAAATAAATATTTTTTCTTTATGATTATTGGCTGTCAAAGGCATTTTGTTTTTTAAGACATGTGATTGTTAGCCAGTCTAATTTATTAATCTTGCTAAGAACATAGTACACCGTACGTTGCTTGCTCGCAAAATTTCTGATAGCTGATGTAAACGTGGTGTAGTTTATAAATACATTAGTTGGATTTTTGAGCTTATTAAAATTATTAGATTCAAGGTTATGTATCGTACTTTACTATTTTCAGTCATTCTCCCTAATAATAGTTTAACTCATTTTATTTTTATCGTAATTTCTTTCCTGTTTTCTAATGCGTATTTTTTGTTATATAATTAGATATCTTTTAACATATTATTTTTATTATTATATGAAGTATATAATTATTTGTAAGTATAAGTTGTGAGATAACTTATAAAAAAAAATTTATGCTATCAGTCTTCTAATTTCGTAACTAACTTATTACCGTCGCTCTGCAGTAGTTAGCAAAGCATAACTGATTAGGGAGCTTAGAGTCTAAACCAATAATGAATTTATTGTGTATATAACGAAATTGTTAAAAAATTAAAATTTCGTGAAAGTATTTTGTTAAAGCTTCAATAATTTACTTACCTTCTGATTTAGCTAAATGTTCACACCCTTATTCTATTTAATTTTAAAATAGCGTAGCTAAGAATTTTTTTTTTAAAAAAAAACAAATAAAAAAGACGCTAGCGTTAACTGCAGTCTGTTGTTTGAATACCTAACTTCAGGTTTTATAAAACTACAGTTGTTTAGCCTTTAACTCTACTGAAAATGTTTTTTTTAAGTAAAGCCGCTATTTTGGCATAAAAAGATACAATAGCAGTAACTTGGTTAAATGTAGTAATTACGATATTATTACCTTTAAAAACAATGAATATTAGCTTAGCACCTGAAACCAAGGCAAAATATAAACCTACTTTAAACATATTATTTCAAGTTTAGTGCATAAACAATTTATTAAAAATTTTTTTTAAGGCAGTTGTTAATTCTTTTCTTAGTTATAACATCGTATAATAAGTATTTTTCAACACCAAGAGATTATATATACTGTTTACCAAACTATTTCGTATATTACCACACACAAACCTAAATTAACAAGAGAGAGAGGATAGGGAACTGTAAAAACCTTAGTCGTCCGTGTGACTTCTATATATTTTTTAATTCTCAACCCCCACTCCCCTGTATGCGGTAAATTCAAAATTATGATTTTTTTTTTTAAAAATAGTATAAAATTAACGATAACTGTCTGTATGATATTAGCTTTTCATCAGAATTTTTATTAAATTAGAGAAATATTTATTTATGAAGTATGATAACATAAAATGACCTGATCAAATTTGATTTAAGCAACTATTTAATCTATGTAATATAAAATATATACTATATATTTAAATAGTAACTATAAAAACTTCCTTCCCTACCAGTTTATTTTTTGTGGACCTGCTATATACACTTATAAATACTATGCTTGAATATTAAAAAAAAAATAACAGAGAGTTTATCCATAAGTTCTGAAAAATAATAACATCGTACATAGCAAATACTTAATATTAAATGTAACTATATAAGGCTAGAGTAAATTAGAAATAATAAAAAAAGATAAGAGTTTTAAGATAAACATTTATACAAATTTAAGCAACTTAATATAAACTTATTAATTTTCTGTCTTTTGAAAGAATTTACAATATAGCACACATTATCTCTAATAATGTAACTTACAAACGATTATTTAATGTCTTACTTTCAGTCGTTGAAAAGATAGAATATATTTTTTAACATAAAAATCTTGCGTTAATGTAATATACCACAAATGTTGAAAACAATGTATCTTGAAAGTTAAGGCGGTAAGTTTTTTATCCGCCATTGCCAAGGGTACAACCTTTTTTTTTAATAATTAATAACTTTTGCAAACGCTTTTATCTTCAGTCGGTAACTGCTTATTGTAATAGTCCGCATTCAGGTGTCTTCAGCTATTAAGCATTATTTCACGCAACAAGTTACACTTAAACAAGATATGTCTACGACCCGTCATGGCTTGTACTCGAGCATAATTCTTACAGTGGGAGTGCACTGCAAGCATGGCGAAACAAGTAATCTGATAGACGCGCCGTATATCCGCACACAATGACTTGGTTAGATTTATCTTTCGTGTGCTATCATTGCCGCTTATAGACGTGTCCTGACACAGTCGATTACCACCGGACGCAGGAACTTTCGTGGCCTAAGAAATACGATAGCTTTATACACGCGGTACGGGGAGGTATTTATATATAAGGGTATATGTATTACCACGGTCAGCTTTAAATCGCTAAATCTATGAAGTTCCTTCTACGTCTAGTGGGGTTGTGACACGAACGTCCGCCAGTTGAGAAATACCTGGCTGGGACCCGCGCCAATTAACCTGAATGTGGTGGAAAACTGGTATAACCTTTGGTAAGAGAAGGCCCTGACTAGCAAAGATATTTTGAAGATAATCATATAAATAATCAATCCTTAAAAGCAATCCGCGCCTGATAGCACCGAGCATGCAAAGATGTCAAAAAAACTATTCAGTAAAGAAACTAATTACTAAGTGACTACTTTCATCATTATCTCATGCACCACTATAAACCTTCCTGCAAAAATTTAAAAAAAACTTAGACGCGTTCATAAATACGAAAGAGCTTTATAATTCGGCATACCATGTTATACATCTAAGATTCCTTTTAGAAAGAAAATATTAATTATAAGAAGATGAGCCTCTTTCTCTACGGGTAATACCTTACTTACATTTTTGCAGCTAATAATATTGCTTGAAAGTAAATATTAGCTAGCAAAAAAAATTTTTTTGTAATTACTGCCACGCTCTAGTATATTTATTTCGGTTTACTTAGTGAACGATAGTAAAATGTTAGTTCGTTTTAAGTTTCATTGTTGACACTAAAAGTTATTTTGTTCACTTTATTCAATATTAAACCGTATTATAAATAAAATATATATAAATCAGCATTAAGCTAAAGATTTAATCTTTCTTTTGTTAATTTTAGACAAGTACTTTCTGAACTTAAACTTTTAAATAAAAGGCAGGTTAGCACTGTGTAGTAATTGCGTTATCCGCTCTTTAAACTATTATCTTTAAACTAAAATCTCAAAAGTTTAGAGGGCGTAAATAAACTACAGATTCAATCTAGATATTAATTTGTTAAAAAAAAAAAAGAGCAAAGTACCGAAATTACAAAAGTCCTACTACAGGCCTTACAGATTATACATTGATTGTGCAGTTATATAATTTATAATAATATATCCCCATTCGGCTACGTTTTTGTAGCTATAATATAAACTCAGCTTATATATTTAAAAGATGAAAGTAAAAAATAATTAATGGCAACATGTGCAGCGTACTCTACCCAGTTACTGCTAGTGAGACTCGATAAAATCCTTACTACAACCTCGTTTTTTTATTAAAACTTCTAAGCTCCAGGGTTATAGCCAACAAATAATAAAACAATTAAAAACAAAAGCTTGAATGTATTGTTTTTACAAACTAAAGTTTTAGTAGCTTCCATTTTGTTATTTTTGAAAACAAAAATACGCTCCTTTTTCGACGTTGCACTTCTTCATAAAAGCAGACCTTTTAAGTCTTGGAAGTACAACAGTCATTTTTTCTGGAAATTCTCCCCCTAATGCTCTGTACTAAGTGATATTCGTTTTGATATATATGTGGACTTTCTAAAAAAATATACTTATTTAATGGTTTATGAGAATAATTTTATATAGTGGTTCTTATTATACGGTGCTAGAGAAAAAGTAAAAGACTTGCTCAAAGTTAGATAGTTAAAGCTTTTCATGACTTAAGCTCTCGTAGAGGAAGAGCATATAGAAACCATGCAGTTAAATAAACTTTATTTTAGTTGCGAGGCAAAGTAATAATTTTAAAGCCTAACATATAAGGTCAAGAATAGCACGAAAACTTTACATGAATCAGTGAATGTTTGTAGATTAATCTAAACTTTTAATCAGCAATCAAACTGAAGTCAACTCTAAGGTGCAAGTTGTGATAATGAACAAAACCTAAGCTAATAATGAAATTTATAGACAACTAAAGTAAAAAGTCTATTTTATTTTACTACGATGACCCAGTTTCACTCTAAAGCCGATAAAGCTTTCGTTATGTTCCGACAAAGTAATTATTTTTTTTATAGATCTCTATTAAAGTGCTCTTTATAACACATTTTTTAAGCCAATGCTTTCAACTCGAAAAATAGAAGGATATCTCCCTTTAGATTCGTTAAGCTACTCGTGCAACATAAGAGTTACCTAAGGATTGCGATCTATAGCTCTATTATCATGCTTTTCATTATTATGGAATCCTTCCTAAAAAAACTGACAATCTCCTCTGCCCTAAATTTATCTTTAACACTATTATATACTTTTTTTTAACTAATTTATTGCTAGCTATACACTCAATATCGCACAAAAGGGCATAATTTAAGTATCTATAGTTTCACCAAGTTTTTTCCTTATATACACGAGCTTTCAGAAACAAATTTCGTTCTAGTAAAAATGAGAACAAAGTCAATGTTTATAGAAACTGAATAAAAAAAAAAACAAATAAGAGGTTCCTCTAAG